TCCATTTTAATTTCACATCTAAGAGGCTATTAACGGAAAGTGTCTTTAACAAATTTTCGGTGATGTCTTGGGAATGTTTTTACTGAGAAAGTCAAATATGCTCATAATAAATCTTTTCTGTGAAATCAACCCAAAGCTTACTCAAAAACTCTCAGAGCAACTGGAATTTACATCTACGCACAATACAAGGGTCCCAGAATTCCAGAACATTATCAGTCCTGATGGCTATATTCTTAAACATTGATCTATCATTATCTTTCAAATTCCCCCTTCCTCCTTATCTAACTTAAGTAACGAGATAAGCTCCAACACTCCTGAGCTCTGCTAAATTAGTTTAAATATTTCAAGTTCTGCCAACTCCCACTTCTACCCCCCTTTCTGGGTCTTGACTAAAAAGGCAAAGAAATATTTTGGAGGAAACCTCACTGTACAGCTTCATAAATCTTCATTTGCTACTTGCCTAAAATGTCATGTACCCCAAAGTTGACAACAGATAGTATTAGGAGAAACAAACAAGCAAATACATGGTACAGGGTCAGACATTCCTCTCTTTTCAAAGGTATTTTTGCCTTCTTCTGTGAAATGGCTATTCCTGCATCTCTACAGCTTTCTACCGAATCATCTGTTCAAATGCTACCATCAGATACCACCGCCACATTGATGCAGAGAACTGGGCACTCTCCCATGGCTTGGTGCCTTGCTTTGGCCTGGTCTGTTTGAAGGGTGGCAGGCTTTTCACATGGCTTCATGGCTTCAATGGCACCCCAAGTGTGGCTGCATCTGTGCCACTTTCATAAGCTTTACTTAGGAACAGACAAATGTGGCCCAATACACGTAGACAAGAAGATGCAACCTGAGCCAGCAGAACGTTGCCTTGGAAAAGGCTTCTTATTTCAGTTCCAAACCACACATACTTGTACAGTTAACAAATGCAGCGGGGGATACTGGTCCACAACATTCGTGTTGAGGCCAAAGGCTCTGCTGTCCTCCGCCCTCTTCTCTCCCCTGCCCCCACCTGCCTTCCTAAGAACTATTAGGTTGCCTAGAAATATCAGAGGAAAGTTAGGTGGCTGTCTTTTTGGAATGCTTGCACACTCCAACAAGAGAAATTTGGAAGTATTTTAATCTAAAAGAACATAAGGGGGGGAGTTCCCTATAAATAAAATCATGTTCAAATAAACACAAAAAGAAGCCAATGTTTCCTGTAAGGCCACTTTTCAGATGGATTACTGGAAGGAGTATTCCTTCACAGTTTTATGGCTTACTTTGCTATCATCTGCTTAAAATTTGGGTCTTTTAAAACATAGATGCTAAGATCTAAGCCTTCGCTTGGATGAAATATTACAAAGGAAGCAGAAAGTCTCATTCCAACTGTAGGCTCAGAGGCAGAACTCTTGGACTCTTGGGTTCTATTCCTGGCTTGGTCCCTGGGCTCAGGTCAACCCTCGGTCAGAATCTCACTTCTAATCCCTTCAAATCATTTGTTAGTCCCTGTTGTCTAAACAGTGGGGAAAAACCCTGAGTAACACCCCTGGATCCTGTTCAATCAACTGGGATAGTTGGAGATGATTATAACTCACTTCCAAGAAACCAGGGTGATTTATCCCTTGGGTAGAACCAGTATGTTCCTAAGAGATATAGTGTCATCAGAACAAACTGGCACTGAAACATTTCTCCACCTGCACAAGATTTCCATGTCCCTTTAATATGATTCAAAAATTATATCACCTATCAGTTTTATAGTTCTTTATAGCTTCCACATTAAAATAACTCTGGTTGGGCTTCAAACCCCCGAAAGGTAGAATAAACAGACAGGTATATTTATCCCCAATTTATAGACGAAAAACTGAGGCTCAGGCAGGCTAAGAGACTTGACCAAGGGCCTAAAGCTAATTAAGCAAGGGGCTTGGGACTCTGACCTTTTGTTTTCCAGGTCAGGTGCCCTTTTCTAACACATGGTTCCTCACGAATAACCCTACCTTTGGACCTGGACAAATGGACTGAGGGAAATTGGTGCAAGGGCTACTTCTTATCCCTTCAGAAGAATCTGTAATGCCTTTTCAGTGCAATAAAGGACTGTGATCCACTGTGGTCCCCAATTAGCATGAGGCTAACATACGTCCCACTCACCTCTGATAACTTCTGCCATGGATCTGCCACTACTGACGCCTCCAAGAATAGAAAAGGCATATAAAAACTTAATTCCCCTGCCCTTGAGCATCCATGTCCATAGGCCCATCACTACCTGGCTGCTCCTCACTTATCATGTGGCTTTTGTTTCTAGGAAGAGGGAATGGTTAGGCAGATAGCTATTCCATGAAATGAACAGTTAAACTTCAATTAGGCTGCCCAATTACTGTTTGCTTCGAGGCAAGCTGTACAACTTTTCTGTATCTTGGGTGCCTCATCTACATGGAACTCTAAAATATCAATGGGCTATGATAACTAACTGGCAGTGAATGGTTCCACCGTGCCGTCACTAGGTATGGCTCCCAGTGGAGCACATCCTAGAGGGCGTGGTCTCTGCTGCCAAGATCCTGACAATGCCAAGGTGTCAGGCCAGAGGAACCAGAGAGAGAAAAATGCATGATGGCCAAGACGCTGAATCACGTCAGGGTTTATTCAGCTAATAGTAAATCTTGAGTCAGCAGAGAGGAGATTGTGCAGCATGCCATATCTTGACACTAACTGACTCTGATGCGTGTGCAAGAGAAATCCAGCGAGGACCACCCAGTGCAGTGCAGCAGTGCCGGGCACAGAGTCAGAAGACGGGCCAGGTGTGAGTCTGGCTTTACCCTCTCCCACCAGCTGTGTGGCTGTGGACAAGCCATGTCACTTCTCTGAATTGTCTTGTCCTCGTTTGTAAATGAAGTATGAAGACTGAGTGAGATTGCACATGTGGACGCACCCGGACAATGACTGGCACTTAACTGATGAGTCCCTTCCTTCTGGTGCTGCACACACAGTTCCCTTCTACCTGGAACATGATCTCCCTTCTCGTCACCTGGCCAGCTCCTCCTTACAGTCAGGCTTCGTCTTCATACCACTTCCCTAGAAAAGCCTGTCTTGACTACACTGACCACCAGGTTAGCCATCTTCCTCTTCTAATAATACAGTCGCATAGCACCCTGTAAATCTTCTCTGTGCCATTTATCATACTTATAGCAAGTAATTATTTACCTGCTTGTTTCATGTTTGCTGCCTGCCTTGATCACATGCTCTTTGAGACTAGGGACAGCTGTGCTTTCTGCTCCATTCCCAACCTTGCGTTCACAGGGAAATTTTAATCAGTATTTACTGACTGGAAATGAACGGATGGCAGCTATGTACTGGCTGACACTAAATCAAATCTTCCATGGCAACGCTGGACAGCTGGTAAAAATGACAAGAACACTTTCTGCAGTGTGTCTGCCTATGTTACTTATGCCCGTAAAAAGGATGAAAACCTCATCAAGACTTTCAAACTGACAATGTACAAAATTCAAGTGATTTCTTTCTAGTTGACATGATTAAACTTTACAGCACAAAATAATCTTTACAAATTTTAACACATGTATACCTTAAACCCTTTTTGAAACAAATCAGTCAACTCCTTGGCCGTTTTGAGATGTCAAGAATAAGGACAGTCCTTTGAGAACTCTCAGGGGTCTTCTGCTTTATCATACTTCATTAAGTCTTTATCTTAATGAAGTACTGCAAATGGACTTCTTGGGTATTGAGCAGAAATGGAAAAACTAACTGGAAAAACCTCTGAAGTCTCCTGACTGCCCGCCACTCCACACAACTTCATAAAGCCTTCAAAATATACTCAAGGATTGTTTTAGCTTTGTATCTGAGAATAGAATGTTACTCAACTAAAGTAAACTCTACAGCTCCTTTTTTTAAAAGCAGCTGCTTCCAGATGGAAGACATTCTGGCAAAACACATTGCGTGGCTCCAGTCTACAATCTAAGCATTTCCCCCACAGTTATGTGTCTTCAGTAAGGTTTCCTGGTGACAGACAAATGGATTCACTTTAATTGGGGATGATTTCACTTCAAATCCTATTTGAGGGAGCAACAGGGTGTGGACGTGGCCCAGGCCCTAGGCATTCTGAAAGGGCGCACATCTATTATCCAGGCAGCAGCAAAAAGCCTTTTGGGCTTAAGGAGAGTCCAGCTTGGCTGGGAACTGTAACATTCATTATACCCCTCATTGATAAGACTCCCCAATTAGTCACTCTGGAAAAGAGGCTAAAATAGGCCACTAAAGCGAATAGCTAAGTTAAAGTGGTTGGGTTCGGTGGGATTTGGAGCTATATGGGCTGTCTCTGATTCCCAGTCTCAGCTGGTATCAAGACAAGATAGAGGTTGGGCGCGGTGGCTCATGCCTGTAATCCCAGCACTTCCGCAGGCGGAAGGATTGCTTGAGGCCAGGAGTTTGAGACCAGCCTGGGCAATTATAATGAGACACTGTCTCTCTTAAAAAAAAAAAAAAAAAAGATAAGACAGCATCCCACAGTGGAACTGCAAACTTGCATGGGGGATGCGGAGGTTTTCTTTGAGGTTGGAGGACTGGCTGGTACTTTCAAGTAGAAGGCAAATTAAGAAGGAGCAGACCCACATGGTAAACTGCAACTGCAGGGATTCTAGAACTATACCATGGGGCCTAAGAGCAAGAACCCACACTATAACCTACTAGTTTTCTTCACAGGTATGTAGGGATACAGTCAGCTTTGTGAACAGGGGAGTTTATAACAATGTAATCTATTTCCGACCTCTCTTATGAAGAAAAATAACATCATATACTAGAGGTATATCTGAAAAAATTCATGCCAGGTTTCTGCACCTCATTTTCATGTATTTATATTAGGCCGATCAGAAATTTTTGTTGTAAGTACTCAAATTAAGAATCACATAACTAAGGCAGAAAGTATATGATTAAACACATTACTATGGATTAGGAGAAGCAGCAGACCTAGGCTGGAAATTGCAAAAGCCACTCCCCCCACAACCACTGACCTGGGGCCACTGAGTGTGGCTGTGTCTCTCACCGCCTGGGCTGTTTCTGATGCAAAATCCAGGGCACCTGCCACTGGCTTGGTTACAGTGCCAACAAGCCCTTTCCCAAGGCCAGATATAAAACCGCTGACACCCCCTTCTGTTTTCACACCTTCCACTGTCGAGGTTATAACACTGGTCAATCCACCAATGATACCTAGTGAAAAAGACAAGGGCTATTGTAACCTGGCCGAGGACAAAAGCAAAAGCATTTAAAGCCAAACCCCTCACTTCCATGCACCTGGAATGCTAACTTAAGGGCATTCTGTTAATCTCTGTGCAAGACAGTCCCCAGAAGGGCCAACTCAAAGACAGGGGACCCAGCAGATTTGCCGATTAAGTCTAGCATCAGAGGATATAATTTACATAATAGTCACAAGTAAAGTGTCCTCCAGTTGAGGAAAATCAAAGAAAAGCTGAGAGGTTAACAGCGGCCATTTTTTCAATTCTAGAGATGGTCAATTGAGAGAGGATACAGACAGAGGATTAAGTCTAGAAGACTTGAAAATGGGGCCCTTGGTGAAAGTTTGAAGAAGTTGGGATCCCATGAACCATAAGGCAAAAAGATAACTAAATACAGTCATCCCTCAGTATCTATAGGGGATTAGTTCCAGAATTCTCCACAGATACCAAAATCTAAGAATGCTAAAGTCCCTGGTATAAAATGGCATAGTATTTGCATATAACCTATGCGCATCCTACTGTAGCCTCTAAATCATCTCTAGGTTACTTATAATACCTAATACAATGCTGACACATTAGTTCATTTGTGTGCATTCAACATAGTACTTGGCCCATATGGCAAATTCAAGTTTTGCTTTTTGGAACTTTGTGAATTTTTTTTTCCCAAATATTTTTGATACTTCTTTGAATCCTTGGTTGCGGCACCTATGGATACAGAGAGCTGACTGTATAAGTTTTCAGTTTTCAAAGAACACTATGTGATTTGCCAACACAACCAAATATTTCAAATGGGGTAAAAGCTACTGCATGCTTTGCTGAAATCAGGTATAGGCAATCACAGTAAATGATAAAGCCTTCATGAAGGGGACCCCCAAAAGCTGCCAAAACTAGCCAGGACCCTCAAAGGAGTCAGTTCCAACCCATGTCAAAAAGACATTTCAAACATTTTGAAAGTTGACAGCAATGGCTTTAAGAACTTCAGAAGAGGCCAGATGTTGGCAAAGGCTGGAGAGGTCACAGGCACTGCAGGGAAGAGGCAGGCCCTGTCCGGGGAGCATTTCCAGGACTTGTGCCAGGGACACTCACAGGATGTTTACCCTCTGACAGAGGGGGTGTGAGGAAGCTCTCTAGACTCTTCAGCTCTAGTGAGACAAATTGGTAAAGGAAACTCCTTGGGTGAGAATGTACTAACAATTCACGTTTCTTTTGGATTCTGGATCCATTTGCTCCAGTAAGTCAACATCCCTTTCCCAAACTTTTGAGTTCTTGGCAGAGCATGCACAGTACAGGAGTTCAGACTGGGACCCGAGAGACAGAACATTACTGAATGTTCAGGTCAAGCAGGGCCTACAGAGAGAACTGAGCACAACTCCTAGTTTTTAAGCCAAGGGGACTGAGTGGATTCTGGTCCTCGTCTTTTAAAGGTCTTTTCATCCCGTGGGAATAATCTCACTCTAGGCTATGGATTTCATATAACTCAGAGCTCAATGGATTCTCTTTGGATGAGCCTACTGGCTCCTGGAGAGGCTGTACATATTATCAGAATAATCCTTGGTGGGAGGTGATTTTGCAACCTTCAACAAATCATCCATTTTCTCAGCACGTTTGTGTGTTCATCTAGAAAGTGAGGACAGCTCTCTCTTCATACTCCAAGGATGTTGGCCAGATGATGGCAATTACACATAGCAAAGCATTTTATAGTCACCAAGAAAGTCCTCCAATATTTTGATGCACCATCATTACAATTACCAAAAAGAATAATTAAATCTTTAACCCAAATGATTGCCGAACAGTCACCTTAAAGTCCATAAACAGATTACTTTCAGCCAAATTTTACTTCTAGCCTGATGTCACCTTGGTTCCCTTTACAGTTGGGCAGCCTTAGGAAAAGCAAAGGCATTTTGATCCAAAACACCACTGGGAAAGTTGACAAAAATCCTGTCCTAAACATTGTGTCCTAAGCACAAATAGAAATATAATTTTTTATTATTTATATTCCTTCCTCTTCCTCCAAATGCAGATAATCAAGACTGATTGGTCTTGATATGACTCAGATAGCTTTAGATGATTCCTAAGGATCTGGTACAAATAGTTCAAGATGCTAACCATCACTATGCATGAGCTACATGCCAGGTGTCATGTGAGGTATATAAGAATAAAGGTGAATGCAAAATGGCCTTTCTGCTCTGTTGGCATTCACAATCTATCAGAGAACAGGATATACATAGCTGGTGACATATACAACCCAGAATGCCACATGTGTTCCACCTGTCATTAATTCTAACTGGGATAGCATATCTGGGGAAATGTAATTTGAGTTGGGACTTATAGGTTGAGTACGATTTTGATAGGTTAGGAAGTGAGGCAGAGGAGAAAAGGGCAGAAGGACTGTGAGTGAGGAGGGACTTGGAGGCGTGTTTAGGAAGCAGAACAAAGCTTTGTGTGCCTGAAATGCAGCGTGGCTCAGGGATGGTGGTTGTGAATTGGCTAGGTTTATATTTTCAAGAGCCTTGAATGCCACACTAAGAAGTTGTTGAGAAAAATGCAACAAAAGGCAAATGAATCAGAATTAAACTATTAAAAGTTGGAATTCAAACAAATTCAGAGACTGAACATATTCATGCCATCACCAATATCTCTTAGGCACATATATGGATTTATAATTTTGGTGAATGCACATTTATGCAAAACTAAAAAACATCTGGGCCACAAACCTGGCTGCCAATTTCTCATTTCAATTTCTTTGGAAGGAATGATCAGTAAGTAGAAGATAGAGTCTTGAAGCAGCAGTTCCTTCCAATTCTAAGAGGTTCAGTTGAGTACACCTCATGACACTTTGGGAAGAGAAGCCAGAGAGCAGGAAGGAACTGCAATGTGCACAACATTCAGAAAGCGAATGAGGAGTTCTCGTAGGCTGTCACATTTTAGTTGAAAGGAGGATAAAATAAGAGAGCCTGGAAGGCCATCAGGTACACCAAAGTACCAAGCCAGGATTTCCTCTGTTATCAGCTTTCTTTTTCATATTTGCAATCAGAAGGGTGCAAAGGCACCTCTGAAGGACTGAGGCAGAAGAGCCCAACATCAAGTGACTTACCATGAGCCAGGCCATGGATGCCGGCTACGAGGTGCTCACCACTGGTGGCTGCGTGGTATCTGATGTACTCCCGCTCTGACTGATGCCGATTGTCCATTGTCTTCCCTAAGCCATCTGATAATGTCCCTGCAAACTGGAATGAATTAAAACAGAAGAGTTTCAAAGCCTCAGTACTATTTTCACTATTTTAATTATTTTAAATAAATACTTTCCCTTGCTCCTAGCCAGGATTCAGTAAATAGTGATTAGAGAGAGAGATTAATTGCTGAATTACATATACTGTCTGTCCCAGGTGAGTGGTTCTCAAAAACACTGGACACACACAAACTGTGGAACACTTACAGTGGGGACACTAGACTTGCAAAGCAAACACTAAAAATCCCTGATGACATTTATTTTCCACAATACTACTGCAAATTTACTGATAAATTAAAGGTAAACGGAATGGCCTTGGGGGGAAGGTGAACTTCGGGATTCTATGACAGTAAAGACACAGGCTCTTCGCTCTAAGAATCAGTGGGATTCAAAACAGAACATGTGTCATATTATTGCTTTAGGGTTTGGTATCAAAAGTTTGGAGAGATCAACCTTCCTCACCTAATCCCATCTTTCATTCATTCAACAATTACCAAGTGCCTACTGGGTGCCAAGCTCCATTTATCAAAAGAAAAAAATTAAGTAGATGGAAAGATTAACAGGTTAGGTCACCTTTCATAGGAAGCAGAAGACTTGAACCCATGACTTTAATGCAAACCCATCCTCCCCCACAAATCAGAGAGATTTTATTTATCCTGGCATATGTGACAACCAGAAAAGCTGTCTCATCCATCAAAGCTGGATAAAAGGGACATAAAACTCTGTTTTGTCACAAGACAATTTGAAAAGGTTTAAAGTGACAGTTAATAAACCACAGGGTACTTATCCTCATCATTCAGGCATAAAAAGAGAAGGATATCAAATATATAATTAACCTTCTCAGGAAGGATCTACCAAAACAAGTGGTTTAAGTGCCAATGACCCAGGACTAACCTTTTAGAAAACTCACAGGAATGTTACTTAGATATAAAGCTCGGTGGAAAGATTCAAGGCAAACAGCCTGCCTGGAAGACTAGTACACTGGGTAGCCTTCTGGGGGCCTGTTTCTTTCTGGTTTGGCAAGCTAGGGGTCGGGTGGTGGTAGTAGTGAGGGTAGTGGTGTGTGCTACACAGATCGGATCTGCCCTGGAAACCATTAGTCCTTAGGTCTCTTTTTTATATATATACTTTTTTTTTTTTTGAGACAGGGTCTCGCTCTGTTACCTGAACTAGAGTGCTGTGGTGTCATCATAGCTCACTGCAGTCTCAAACTCCTGGGTTCAAGCAATCCTCCCACCTCAGCCTCCCAAAGTGCTAGGATTACAGGCCTGAGCCACTGTACCTGGCCCTTAGGCTTCCTGACACCAGTGACAGGTGAGTTCTGGGCCCAGAAGAGGGACTACAGGAAGGAGCAGCAATTCCATGTAAAGCAATGGCTCCTGGAGCAAGCTATGGGAAGACTCAGTCCTTCTACTCCGTCCAGATGCTTTTACGCTCTGGGGCAGTAATTATTGACCTTTCTGGAGGTGCAATCCCTATCATTATTTGTTTGATTTTTGTCATACGTTCCCCATCACTCCCTGTCTAATTAAGAGAATTAAAGTTAATGAAAATTAATTTTACAACTTCCTTTAGGAAACTGGAGACACCATGGGGTGTTGCAAAACCAGCCCGTAAGTAGGAGGGGCTATAGTCCCCAATAAGAGCCACCACAGTGTAGGGGAAAGGCTACAAGCTTGGGGGCATCTGACCGAACCAGACCCCAGCCCTCTCTCAATCATTCTGGTAGCTACAGGAGCCTGAGCCTCCCTCTGCATCTGGAGAAAGGCGATAGTACCTACTTTGTCATATGGCTGAAAAGATTAGAGACAACGGCTCAGGGTCTGGCATCTAGTTAGCATTCTTATTGTTGTTATTAGTCAGCTACTAGTTCAAGGAAGAACATGATAACCCAGCAAGCAGGAGGAAGACGGTCAGATAAATGAGGAAGAGCTGCCCCACAGGAGCCTTCGCAGATCCCTCTGAGAGCAAAAATTGAGCCTCTTCCGAGGCTACCTGTCCAGGTAGGAGCTGAATCACATCATCTTTTGAAAAAAGCCTTTCGAAGCTTTAGAATTATGCTCATTTGCACTACAGTTTAACACAATAAAACCCTCTCTTTCTAGCAGATAAGTACCAGCCTCCAAAGTAAGTTTTTGGAGTCGTACCATCTATAAAATTAGAGTGCTGAACTTCATGATTTCTATAATCTGATTTCCAACTCTGAAAGTGCGGTAGATCTATGACCCAAGGCAGAATGTCTTTACTTACTCTGGGCCCAACACAGATTTAGGTACTGCTGAGGATACAAACAAATAAAGCCTCGGACCCTACTCTCAAGGAGCGGACAGTCTCACTGGGAAGGTAACAACATACGTGAAACAGCCAGCGACAAGAACCTGGAACACAAACTGTACTGACTCAGGGACACAGAGGGAGGAAATGTGACCTCGTTTTAGAAAGGTCAACAAGAGCCCCTGCTATGCTCTGGAGTCACACAGGTTGGCAGAGTTCTTCACTCCGGGTCTGGACAAAGACACCTCTCCCCGTTGCCTCAGAAGCAGCGAGAACGTGGTCATGTGAAGTGTGTCCATGCCCTGTGTGTCTCCCAGAGGCCCAGGAGCACCCCAGCTACTTTCAGGGTCTTGTTCAGACCTTTCCCATTTCTCTCAAGCTCTTATTTCCCTTGAGAAGAGAGACTTCCTTGGAAGAGAGATTATGTTAAGGTGCTTTTTCCCTATCTCTGGCAGCTGACTAGAAGAAGTTAAAAATTCCCATAATACTTTCCCCCTTAAGAGAGTAAGGGAGAATAATCTAGGCAAACTGCTCAATACTATTCTCTCGTTTTCTAACCCCCCGTGAATTAAACAAGTTTAATATCCAAGGTTTGTGAGTGAGCCCATGTCAAAGCTTCATTTACAGTGGAGTCTGCTGCGCAGCCCCAGCTCCCCTGCACTGACTGGCTCCTGGGTGTTCTCTGTCCAGTGACACGGCATTGACCCAAGGAGGATGGGATGAGATGATCTAAGAGACCACTCTTTCCTCCAAATGCTGGATTCTTCCATGTGCTTCTCAGTTGCCTCACTTTTGCTGTAGAAAAGTGCCTACACCTAACTCAACTTACTTTACTGTAGGGCTTTCATCTGAATTCCCACTTCTCTGTCCATAAAAAATTACTTGTGCAAGCCAGCTGGACTTGTCCTTTGTCACTGGTTAACAGTCAACCATTACAAAAGTCTTCTTCCCTAGAACTACGGCTTTGAGAACTCAGAAAACTTGGGTTGAAATCTGTGATCTCACCAAACCATATTGATGGGAGGTTAATCAGATTTTACTAGGAGAGACATTTTGCAGGAATTAAAACAAAGCCAGCTACATGACAGGTATAGTGGTCAAACGCATGGCCTTGGGCCAGTTCACTGGATTCTGAGTATTGAACCCAGGCCAGCACAAAGCATGTAGCCGCCTTTGACTGTGGGAGCACTTAGCCTTAATTCCACCTCTCATTTCCCACCTCAGAGGGAAGGTAAATCAGACCCATCTCACACAAAGACAGTGTGAGGACACGTGGGTTGCAGAGGGAGCGGATTCCAGCAACACTCAGCATGGGTGCCCTCTGGCCGTGGTCTTCTCTGAGACAGGGAAACGTTATCTCATCCATGTCCTCAACTTTGAAGATGATCATCAAAATATAGCAGAGATACCCACTAGATACCCATCATGGCATAGGAGTGGTTGGCCGGGGACATCCTTCACACCCCCCTCCCAACCGTCTTGTGACAAACGAATCCTGGAGGCAGATACTCAGATTATTCAAACGAAGGAGAAATGAATCCCAGAGGCTGAAAATCATCAGGATATGAGCAAGTACAATTCAGCTATGCATCCAGTCAACCAACTAAGTGATCCAACACGTACGGAGCCCCTACAGTGTGCCCACAGTGTGCCAGGGTGCCAGGGTGGAGACTGAGACTCAGAAATCAGAAGTGGTTCCTGCCTTTCTTCAAGACCTCAGTTGGGAGGTATGTATGTGGCATAACAGAAACATAACAACACCTGAGCTCAAATTCTGACTGTGACACTTAACAGCTGTGAGGTCACAGACAGGTCACTTAACCTGTGTGAGCCTCCATTTTCCTCATCTTCAAAATGGGGCTAAAAATATCACCTACAAGGATGCCATAAGGATTAGACAATACATGTAAAGCACGTAGCACAGAGCCTGATACGTATGAGTCATTCAATAAAAACAGTATTGAGTTATCTAAATGTGAAGTTCTTTACATGCAGAATGGGAATAAGGGTTTAATTAGACAGTACAAGCGTCTGGCATGGTGCACCCCCAGTAGAGCGGAAGCTATCTGGAGAGGGACATAAGAGCACCAGAGCAGGGAGTGCATGCTTGGCTCTCAAAATGGGAAAACGACTAGCAACTGGAAGGTAATGTGTCGATAATTTGTAACTGCGCGTTATAAACAATACCTCAACACCAGAAGAAGCATTTACAGAGACTTAAATCAACCTAGTTCATTCTGTTGCAATTTCAAGTCCACAAAATACTTAAGGCTTCAAGTGAATGTTGTCTTAGCTAAGATGAAAGGTTCCAAGGAACAGAATGTCCTTCAGAAAATCTGCTATTACACTCACAAAGACAATGATTTTACCCTTTCTTCCCTGTAGGTAGCTTAAACACACGACATACTTGTGAATTCTGGCCACAGTCCAAAATCATTAACTTCTATAAAGCAATATTTTCAGCAAGGGGGTAAAAATCTCACAAGTACTTCAAGACGCCAGTTCTACCGAATGGCTAACACACAGTGTGCGTCAACACCCCACCTTCCAGAAATAATCCCACTATCTATACAAATGGAGACACTGCATTTTAGCCTCAGTTTGGTGCCCAGCTCTGAAAAGCTGATTTTATAAAACCGAAATTCAAGTAGATGCTGGATGGCGCAAGGGAAAAAATTCACACTGTGTCCTTCTGTTCTGTCCTATCAGTTTTCCTGACCCTTT